CCCTTTGTACGAACAAAAGTAAGAGAAGTTTAGGATAAGAATATGAACATGTTCTTGCATGAGGCCCATTATCTATCAAATAATTGTTTCACGTATGCTTAAAAACGCAGACAAGTAAACCATATATATAAAAAAACATCATAGTTGTTTCTAGAATGTTAAAGCTTTAGCCCTCAAAATGAGCAATTTAAAAATGTTATACAATTTAAAAAAATACACTAAATTCACATGGTTCACAACAAAACCTTTACAGCATATTTTGTAATAAATGAGCAGAGACATGTTTTGTTGTCAACAACCTATGTTTAGCAGTCATGGGCTCTCCAGAATGTGTTGCAGAGGTGTGGTGAGGCTCTGCACCTCTGTATTAATTGACAGAGAACACCCCTCCTTCTGTCCTTCTGTCCTAACATCCCTCCAATAAACAACTTGGCCCGCTGCGCTCAGCTGGAAACACTCGACAAAAGTACACAGCAAAACCAAACAAGGTGGACAATCAGGGGAAAGGAGCTTTGGGAAAAGAGAACGTAAGTACCGTTGTTTAGATGCAGAACTTGTAGCTGGTGTTGCGTCACACAGGGAGGGTCGTGTTGTTGAACCTGAACTTGATAGATGTGTCGGGTTTGGGCTTAATTTCTTAACACAGTTCACAGTTCTGGTGAATGAAGAGGCAGTTTTCAAAGTAACAAAAACSTGAATCAATTTAAGTATGTTTTCAAATGTCAAAAAGGAAGGGTTTGGTATTTATACAAGCAAGAAAAAGTATTTTTGTTGTTTGTTTTTCAGTAAATTTAACCCTGTAAAATGCCATTAGACTAAACATTTCTGCTTCTGTATGTCTGCGTTGAGACATAAAAACTAAGGGTCTCTCATATGTTTTAACAAAAGTGTTTGCAACTGTCATCAGTTTGCAAAGTTTGTGAAAACTGTATGAATTGTACAATTTAAAACAGGAACATATAAGTGGTTAAGGTTTGGTTCTGGGACTCTTCTTTTTGAACTTGGCATGTTATATGGCAAGTCAAATGGCAATTTTTACATTTTTATTGCTCCAATTATTGCCTGTCTAGTTAAAAAGTCACATAAAAAACAGTTTTAAGGTCAGAGAGCCACGAAATTCGACACAAATTCCACCAGAACGCAGTTTTTTACTCTGTTTTAAGAGCACTTTCTGATCAACAACAACAAAAAAATTTTTTTGATTCACTGAACGCAACCTTTTTGCGTCACAGCATTTTGCTTTAAAAACATCAATAGCACAATGGGACAAGTACGGAAGCAAAGGCTGAGTGCTGCAGAACGGATCAAGTACGCAAACATGAGAATCTCTTTGCAGACCAGTCGATCTGTGATGAATCAGTGGGGTCTAAAAGGGTACGAGAGTTTAAAATAAACATAAGATAAAAAAGGCCCTGCCTAACTGAAGGAAACCTGGCTGTTTTAAACATCATATGACTTTGTTATAAAGCGACGGTGGAAAAATGCACTTTTCTGGCCATTGTATGTGTGACATAAAAAGAGGCGTTCACTGACCACAAAAACTATATTTTTGCTGCTGAGAAGGTGATCTTAAAATGGTGTAAAAAATAAGAAAAAATTAAATTATTAATTAAAAATTAGTAAATAAAATTAATTCTGGGAGAATTTCTGCCATATTATACAGCATTTGACTTTATACTAGACTGGCAATAAAAATTGTTATTTGTTACTGCTTTGGCTTGCCATAGACACAGCTTGTTATTGTTATTTTCATATTTGAAAGACAGACTTGACATAATTGTGAACTTAAATTTGCCCAGGCCCTTATTTGAGTCTGTGGATGAAGACTTTTGCCTCTTTCTTCAAACTGCGCTATGAATAATGTCAAGACCTTTAAAGTTCAAGGTACTAAACATTTATAAATAGTATTTGACAGAACATCACTTCAAAAATGACAGGAAAAAGGAGTGAGGGGGGGTGGGGAGGTATGAGTCACGTGACCAAGAGTTGATTTAATTAATGAGAACACCTGTGGAGCTCAGGTGACTGAGCGAAGAGAAACAAAAACTCTTTTCTCCTGTTCTCCGTGTTTTCACCTACCTGCAGTGACGTCATGCCTCTGAACGCTGGAGACCCCAGCTACGGCCCGGTGTCCGGTGCCACCGGACTGTCCAGCGGCGAGGAGGCCACGGAGACGACCCCCCTGCTGCCCTCGGAGCCCGTGTTGTACACATGGCGGCCCATGAACCAGCAGGAGCTGCTGGCCGCGGCGGCCGGTCCCGGGTGGAGGAGAGTCCGCTGCACCCTGGTGGTGCTGTTTTGGCTCGCCTGGGTGGCCGTGCTGACCGTCGCGGTCGGCATAATCGTGATGAGTCCGCGGCCGGTTCCGACATGTCTGAAATGGTGGCAGAAGTGCCTGTTTTACCGTTTGCGGCCAGAACCGGACGTGGACACGCCGGCCGGAAGGTCAGAGGTCATGAACGGTGAGTGGGGGAAACTGGGAAGTCAATTAAGCATTTTTTTTATGAAAGTTGCTCAGATTGTAGAAAACAGTTTACAATATTTAACCTTTTTATTGAGGTCAGCAGTGACTTTTGATCACTGAAATAAAATATAAAAAATAAAACATCAACTCTCCTGTCCCAGTGATACAGAACTGTCACATATCTATTATTATGTGTAAATCAATCCAAGGTGGAGATAATATACTTTACTGTCATGCATTCAGTGGTGGAGCACTGTACTTAAGTAAAAGTACAGATAAACAGACGAGAATGTACTCTAGTAAAAGTAAAAGTACCACATTAACATTTTACTTTAGTAAAAGTACTTTTCTTTTAAAAATACTCAAAATAATAAAAGTAAAAGTACTTGCTTAATATATTCCCTAATGGTCTACAATATGAAGTGTGCCTACTGTATGTATATTTTAATACATCAACGGTGCCATTTTAGTGAACAATGCTGCAGATGATGTGTATTTTTTTGTGTTGTGACACCGTTACTTGGACTTGTGATTCTGTGCATCATCAGAGATTGTGACAACAGTGGCAGAAGCTGTAAATTCACCACCAGCCTCCTTTATCAAATCTCAACAAGTCGTTTTTTTTTTTTGAACCAGTTAACTTTAAGTCTTTTAAATAAGGCCGTGAATGGCACATTTCCTCTGTGGTGGAAACATGGAGGGTCTAATGGTACTTTCCTGCTTTGCAGTGATTCAATGGACCAATTACAGCAATCCCCCCTTCACCACTGATTACTTTCAAATTAAAAAAACAAATAAACCACACAAAAATTTTAAAACAAAATGCGACATGACATGAATGTAATTTGTAATTCAACGCATTACAGAAARGTAGTGGAGTAGAAAGTACAGATACTTAATGTAAAATGTAATGGAGTAAAAGTCAAAAGTACCCATGATGAAGTCTACTTAAAATATAATTAAGTACAGCAAGAAAGTATTTGTACTTTGATACATCCCACCACTGCATGCATTACTGTGGATAATATGGACTTGTTTGCGAATCACAGAACCACAATAATGTCTGAATACCAACGTACGGACCACCAAGCACTAAGACAATACTCCCAAACTTGCTAGAAAGTAATCAAAATGTTTGTGATCTCACAAGTTGCAGACCTCAGTCCCACTAAAATGCTTGTTGAATTTTAAACCAGTGACCTGATGCCTTGTGGGGCCAAAATTCCTTCACAGTGATGCAAGAGGCTGATAAGTCCTCACAGTGGATGATTACTTAAGATAATGCAGCTAAAGTTTGATTTTTTAATTTACCTCCATTGCTTCTACTTTTTTTCTTTAAATAATGTGCACGGAGGAAAGAGATTCATCTGGCCCTGATCATAAGGATCCTTTGCACGTTGTGCACTAATGAAGCAGAAATCATCATGAATCAAACTGTTTTAAAACTGAAAATCGAACCTTAATCTAATCATGGCTCTGAAGTCAGAATTGAAATGTGAGATAGGAAGATCCCAACCCCTTTTTGTTTATCCATGATTGCGTTTACCTCATTTTAGAACCCAGTTAAGTCTATTTTTAATGTTTTAACACAAAACGTCAGAACTAAAAAAGCATTAGTATAAGATTCAAAGAACCCTCTAAAGAGGACAGTAGATGGAAGTGAAAAATGTTTACATTGTGAAGAGCTGAGCAGGAAGACTTCAGTTACTTTATGATTAAAAGTTAGTGACCATTTTTTTTTTGTTTTGTTTTCTTTTAAGCGGCGTGCGAACGCCTCCCCTACCTCAGGTCTGCGGGGATCGGAGCTGTAATCCTGGAGGGGGTGTTGGATAAAACATCATCTTCAGGAAACGTCACAGACTACAGTGAGAACCTGGAGGTCCTGGCTCAGATCCAGCATCTGCTCACAGAGAGCAAGAAAGCACGTGAGCAAATCTGTCTTTTGTCAAATCTTCTACGTCTAGATGTTTTTTTTTTCTTGGATTAAATAATTTGGGCTTTCAGGTCTCAGAGTGTTGTTGGACTTGTGTAAAGTGAATCTGTTGGAGCTTCAGGAAGAGACGGGAAGCGCAGACGACCTATCAAACCATACAGAAACGGTAAAACACACTTACTGTAATAATGGGGAGTAATAATGACAAACACTGATTTAATGTTTTTTTTCCTCAGCGTGCATTAAGGTTCTGGTTGGAACAAGGCGTAGCAGGTTTTGTAATCTGTGATACAGATGCAGCCTTTTCAGTTYAGGTAAATATCAGTGTTAACAAATATTTTTGATTCAAAGATTTCCCCTTTCCTAAATTGTCCCCTCTAAAACACAATCTCTTGCAGACTCTGATGGAGTGGAGAGGTGTTCTTGAGGAATTCAGCTCTCAGGATAATGAAAGGTTCAATTGAATTTCAAATGAAAATGTCTTTTTTTTGCTTTGAAATGTGCTGAAATGCCTGTCCGTGTCTTCTCTGTAGGATTTTGGTGGTAAAACAGAACACAGACGTTCTGCGTCCGCTAAACATCTCGACTTACGGCAACGTCACGCTCGTGAACATGGTCATGAGGTCCATCTTGCCAAAATCTCCTCACGTCCTGTCTGCTGCAGAGGTGGCTGAGGTTTTAGAGACACGGCTGCAACCAAAACAGGAAGACGTCTGGCCAAGCTGGAATGTAAGACATCTTTCCCCTGTCATAAAGATTTGTCAGTCTATAAAAAAAGGTGAAAATGTGACTTAATTAAAACCGAGTTGTCAGCTTTTGATGGACACCTGGATTACCTGAAGTGTTTTGGGCAGATTGGAGGTGACGCGTCTCAGGATCTGAAGCAGTTACTCGTGGTGTTGATGATGACTCTTCCAGGATCACCTGCTTTCCAGGATGAAAAGAACAACCAAACACAGGTAWAGCCTGGTCTGGGAGTTCACATCTCAAAAGCTGACACTTTATTACTCTATAAATCAGACACACAGGATTTGCCATCACACAACCAGCTGTTYCTTTAGTAAATATCAGTGTAATATTATCTCTCTGTGGCGCTGATTCAGCATTTCTTTAGCTTATTCTGGGCACCTTTTAGACTCAAACTACAGGGTGAGTCAAAAMTCMCAGCACAACTGTTTATTTCAGYAAGAAAAGTGAKAATGACATCTGAATACAAAKGCAGTGTGGCCGCCATCTTGAAAGCTGTCACACTGGATAGAATAAAAGTGTCCTGTGACMTTTGATTCACCTTGTGCTTCACATACTTGATGCGGTTTGAACCGTCCWTATGTCAAACTGTTCAGCTCAYTCAGGAATTATGTTGTAACATTCAGTTTAGTGCATTTTACACTTTTTTAAATATTTGACTTTATTTTAAAAATAAAATAAAATTAACCCACACGACGGATGAACATAAACATTCTCTTTGAAATCTGCTACAGCATACTTGCAATTTTTCTTTTCTTGTGCTATTTGTAGCTTTTAGCTGCAGTTTTGGTTGTCCAGTTTTTTGCATAATATCTGCAAACACTAAAATGCACATTTCCTAGTTAAATTTAACAACCTCATGTTTCTGAATCCCCCCCAGCAGATGACAGAAAGTTCGTCTCTTTTCACCACACTCCGCCACTCAAAAGTCAGAGAAGAGGCTCTCCTGTACGGCACCTTCACCTTCCTCTCCTTCAACACCTCCGACTCTTCCCCTCCTCCCATCCTGGCCTTCCTGCGCTCCTGGGGCTGCGTTCATTTCCTCGTTCTGCTCAACGTCGGACCCGAGCCTCGCACTCTGGACCCCGCCTGGGCTCCAAGRCTGCCTGAAAGGGGAGTGTTTGTCGCCAGCACCGGGATGAACCACTTAGGCGTGACGTCTCTGTACTCGATCARGCTGCAGCCCCACGAAGCCATCGTCATCAAACTGTTTAAGGCAGGAAGCTACTCGTAATCAGCTGCCTGCTCACATTGAACACATTTTAAAAGAGCTGAAAATAAAAATGAATCTGTGGCATCYTTTCCTGGCTGGTTCATATTAACCCTTTAAATCCAAACTGTTTTAAAATAAATTTGTTTATGGAATAAATGTAAYTAAGACTTTTTTGTTTGCTTCTGATTTATATAGAGTTTAGGCCCACACTGTTCAAGGTTGACTCCCAGAATATGTTTTAAAAGTATTAAAACATTTACTAAAAATYCTTTCCTTTGTAGCTTCATCTTGTATATTCTGACTTTCTGGATGATTTGGTCAGAAGTCTGGACAGTTTGGATTTGGCTAAAGTTAAAAAACATAAGAAACTTAGTTTGTGAGTGATTAACTTGCCTCAGAACTTGAAGAAATCATTTATAGCCGTTAAAACTTTGTTTTACCTCTTAAGATAAATATATTTTTACATGTGCCTTATATTATAACAATAAGGAAAACATTTTAAACTTGCTATATCCATTAAATTAAACCTATTTACTTCTCAGTGGTTAGGTTTTATGTTCAGACTGTAGGTTGATACAAAACCTGATTTTAATTTGGTTTATTAGAGGAGGTTGGTTTGTTTTTAGAGGCAGAGAGGATGGCCRGTGTGTTCAAATCAAAATAAATGATATATGCAGAGATCCAATCAGACTGCTTTTCTCATAAAGTCATGTCAGCTTTCCACACTGAGCTCGTGATGCAGCCACACCTGTCAGGTGATGTTTTTCAGTTTAGCAGGCATTTACTAAGAAGCGCCATCCATTCATAGAAATCAGAGATGAGCGTTTACTTTCAAAAAATAAACAAGGGCTGGAGCTGCTGAACAAATGAATTTGGTTCAAACTATTGTCTGATTTAAAAGGGACAAATGTAGTGAAACATTAACTTAAAAAAACTGTCTTAAAAGCTTGTATTTTCTTAATTTAATAGGCTCCTAAAATAATCTGAACAATGAGTGATTTGTTTTAATAATTGACAGGTTTAATTATAATCAGAAAAGAAAAATAACTAAAGTCTTGTGTTCTCCAGCAAGTTGTCAGGAATGATCTGCATGATAATGAAATAAAATCTCTTGTTATGGCTTGAGTTGTCCACCAGATGTCACCATCACCCATCACTGAAGCACAGGATCTTTCTGGCTTCAGTGCTTTCTGAGGTTTCATCTGTTCATCACCACACTTTTCCTAATGGTTCTGTYCAGTTACAGTGTAACCTTCAAGGAACATTCTCTGAACCAACCAGTGGTGGAGCCAGTCAGTTTCTGTAAGGGTGGCCAGACTGGGACCACTGGTCGTAACAGCGTGGCCTAAAAAATGACTTTTCTTTTTTCCTACATGGCAATTTGCGAAGAAGGATCTGTTAGCGTTTCTTGGTCATTTTCTCATTTACTTACACAGGCAGTGATGACCATATACATCATGAGAATTATGTATTTGAACAGAGAAGTTAAAATTAACATTCTGCATACAGAAAGAGCCACTTCCTGGCTCCAATTTCAACATGTCAGGGAGTCAGACCCAATTCAACCATGTTCCAATTGCATGATTGTCTAATTGTTGTGCTTGGTGACCAGGCTATTAGCATACAATCCAATAATTGTTTGCCTCATTTTGTACATTTAAACACAACACAGTGTGCGACTAACATGTTAAAAATGTCATCTTTTCCAACTTTTCATGATCAAGTCAGACATGTTGGATTTTGAAGCTGAGACTATAGTGCCGAGTCGACGTTTGGGGATTTTTCCAATTTGAAACTCAAAATTTAGTACAAACAGAGTGCAGCTTGAAGTTTCAGGAGCAGCTGCCATCTCTGATGATGTCAACAGATGTGATCAGTAGCCAGAGGTCTCAAGTAACAAAGTACCAATACTTTGTTACTGTAGAAATTTTGGTTATAACATTATAGTCACTGTGGCCTTTTGTAAAATGGTTTTGGAAGCTCACTTCCCAATCAGTGTCATTTTTGAAACTCTAACCACTCACATTTTTCTCAATACTTTTAATTTAATATCAGAAATTTACATTTGATACTCAAGTACAGTAAATATCAAATACTTTAGGACTTTTAATATACTTAGAGGAGATTGTGACTTTTACCAATTGGTAAGACAATTGTACTCAAGAATCACTTTGAGGTACTTTAAACAAAACTGATACAACAGATGGCAAAAATTGCATTAGGTGGTAGCCTAATGGTAGCGATTGTTTGTAATTGTAGCAACACATGCTAAAGGTCACAACAGTTGCTAAAGTTAGCAACAACTAACTAGAAGCACTCAGAGAGTGCAAACCTCCGCCAAGACCAGTTTCCCTCAACCTGTAATAGAGTTACAAAGGGGCACACCAATACTACAGTGCCACCTGCTGGACACTTTGAAACCCACGCCCTGTGAAAGCATCACAGCTTTGCCGATGTCAGAGTGCTCAAAGAAAAAAAATCCTGTATCCGCATCGTGATCCGGAACATCACCAAAATTTAATGGTGTGTTCCTTGGCCCAGTATCCACATGTGGTAAAAATTTCATAACAATCCGTCTACAAGTTTTTGAGTAATGTTGTCCACAGACAAAACGACAGACAGACGGACGGACGGACGGACGGACAGACAGACAGACCGAAGGACATACGCGACCGAAAACATTACCTCGCCTTTGGCGGAGGTAATAATAAAATTTGCAGTTACAAGTTGTCACAACAGATCAACAGACCCATCCTCTCAAGGAGAAAGCATTCTATAATCTGCACAATCTTGCACATACACATTTGTGAGTTTTTCTTTTTCTTGTAGTTTTTTATTTCACATTAACCAAACACACACCACATACAACAATACTATATTATTCTTTTTTTTTACATAGGACTATATACTTTTGTTTCTTTTCTTGGATTTACAAATCAKATATTTACAATTTGCACACCCTCAAAGAAGAAATGTGCTGGTGGGAATCTTTTGACGTGCACTTGGTCATGCGTGACTGAACCACAGATTAAAAATAGGATCACGTGATCAACAATCAAAGAAGCCACAAKAAGAAGGAAGTAAAAAAATCATCAGTAGAGGAGTTGAAGTCACATCAAAATCCAGAACAAAAWGCAAAACATTCTTAAAGTGCTCGCTGCAGCAGCCACTGCCAGGGTGTCTGTTAGCAAAATATTTTWTGAACTACTAGTAATTACTGAATGCAACACCACATTAGATTAARTGGTGGAGCTAACGCAAATCAAGCCAACCCAAAAGTGGCTCTAATTCAGTCCCTTTATAGATTTTGAGCTAAACTTCAGTTTGGTATTTTGCTGAGATTTATCCCTGTCACATAATGCTGAAAGATTGCATGACATACTTGTTTAAAATTTTAGGGTGCAAGATAAACAAAAAACAACAACAACATGCTACATTCCTTATACAGTGGTCATTTTACACAAAGATGTCAGGTTAGTACAAGTTAATAAGTCTCTTTGAAAAGGGACGAGGTAGTTTAGTCTCGTTTGTTAACATGAGGGCAAAAAATATTTAAAATGTTCTCTTTCTTTTTTCAATAAAGTTCACTTACAAAGATAGCGATGGGTTTTGGAGATTTGGGTTGTTGTTATTTTTTGACTGAGCAGAACTTAAAGTAAGAGCATCTTTAAAACTAAAATGTCTAAAATCAAAAAATTGTTTGTCGTAATATGTTTTTTGGGGTTTTTTACGATAAAAAGGATAAACAGTTTGGTTTAAAAAAACAGAATAGCTGTAATTCTGTCCTGTGAAAACATAAATATACTGATTTCATGGTTTAATCCTTCCAGAAGGTGTCAGACTTTTTCTACAGAATACATATTTCTACAGGAAGCCAGAAAAACAAAAAAACAGAACAAATGCAGTTTGTGTTTCTTTCTACTTGCTTTAAAGGTAAAKGTGAGGAACATTACCAAAATGAAAACAGTTTTCTTTCAAATAATCCCTAATAATTTTCAACTCATAGTTGTATATATGGTGTCAATAAAAGTAATTTGCATGCTTTAATTCACAAAAATACATTTTTTTCTTACCTTTACATCCATTTTTAATACTATACTAGTTTCAATTGCTTCATTGTGGCAACTTTATTTTACTGTAGGCAGCTTGTAGTCAGTCTTTGTACAGAAAAAATAACTCACTTTTACTCTGGACTTAACATCTGAAACTTTACAACTATTTTCCACAAAGACATAACAATGATTCACAACGATGGCAAACATTATACAAAGGGATTTCCCATCACTATGGCAGCAGCCATGTCTAAGAAAATGAAAAGGATAATTTCTGAAGAACTGTTAGAGAATTTTGATGTAAAGGTAAATTAGGACAATGATTTTAAGGACACATTTTAATGCACATTTTTGCCAATTCAATGCATTCACTTCAACCACAATAGAAGACAACAGATGAAGTGTATAAAACAAATGATTTATGTTGTGAATTAGATGCATTATGATGAACATTACTGAATGTATATGTTATTTCCAGATCTGACCCTGTATAAATGTGTGCAYTAAGTAGCCCAAGTCACTATTAACCTTCATGCACATCTGAGGTAAAGGGAAACACATGGTTGCAGAATTTGAGATGATCTTGGATTATAAGCTGTGTATGTTACAGCTGTATAAAATCATCAGGGATGCCGGTTACATCAGGAGCTAAAATTCATTTTTACGCTGCATTTGCTCCTCAGCTGACTCTCTGAATGCTGCAGGCCTGAGAATATGTTATAGGAAAAGGATGATTGAGAAAATAAAATGACAGAATACATTTTTGCACAGGAAGTAGCTTAAGCTGAGTGCACAAATAACATATGATTGGATGTGTTCCTTGTTGCTCAGTCCCAATGCTTTGTTTTAAGATGGGGTGTCAGCATGTTTGTTCCCTTTGTAAGCCCCATATTGAAATGTCATGTGAGAGTTGCTACKTGACTGCAGTAGCTTTGGCGGTCAGTGCATAGTCTCGTAATCTGAAGCTACAAGTTGGATGCCAGGCTGCATCAGGACAGGGCGTCTGGTGTAAAACATTTGGCAAATCTTGCGTGAGTTCGCTCGCTGCGGTGAGCCCTGAAGGGYGCAGCTGAAGCTCAAACAGCTRGAGCACAGAACAGCTTCACTGCCTGAAGTCCTTTGTCTTTTGCGGCCAAGGGTTTCTTTAGTTTGTCGGTTCTGTTGGCTCTTTGAGCGTGCCACAGTTCAGGGGTTGTATGTGGCACTGGGTGTTGTCCAGAGGTAAAGACAGCGCACAGTGAGCCGTCGTCTTCACGGCTCCTTTGCCAAAGTGGCAGCTCAGCAGAGAGCACAGGTGACGGAGCATGGACTTGCGGCAGATGATGAAGACCCACGGGTCCATGATGGGGTTGAAAGCGTAAAAGCGGAARGCTTTTAAGTTTTCCGAGTCTCCTTGAAATGGATGTATGGCGTTGACAAAACCTGCAATCTGAAGAAGGGGAGAAAGATACGGTTAAATACAATCTTTYCAGTTTGTTCTTTGACAAAAGCCCAAATTGTATCAAGTTACAAGCAATCCAAAACTCTGACAATAGACCTGTTTGGTTATAAACAAATCATGGACTGCTTCCATGACTACGACCTACTTTTTGGGCCATGTGCTGCTTCTGTTTGACTTTTAAGGTWTGAAACAAAAACATTTTGTAATCATGAAGCAGATGTAAAGAAAACCCTGGAAAAAGTATCTGGACTTGATGTAGTCCTAACCCTAACCCTAACAACTGATCTGACTATTTTTGACCTGATCTGACAACTGATCGGACCTGACATGTTTTTGTA